GGTTGGGGTCTCAACCGCACCCTCTCCCAAATACATCTCAAGTCTCCGCTAAGTGCGGAGCCCATTCCCCCCGTCCTGCTCTCCCTCCGCTGGCTGGCGTCGGGGCTCACCAGTGCACTGGTGGAGCTGGGGGTGGATGCCCGGGGGACTGCTGGCTCATTCCTGGCGGCCTCTCCGCTGGCCCCGGCCGGCCGGGGCTTTGCTGGGGCTCCTGTCTGGGGATCGGGTGCCCTTGGAGCCTCGGATCCCTGGGGCCTGGGACTGGATCCGCTTCGGGGTGGGGCTGGCTGTTGTTCGGGGATTTTCGGGGTCGGTGCTGGTGCCTTCGCTACGATGCCGGTTCCTGGGCGGTGTTTCTTTCCTATGCCGGTTCTGTGGTATCGGTTCGGGGGGGGGGAGCTGCACGGCATGGTGGGGTGCGGGTCTTGGGTCCTGTTTTGGGCTCCGGTTTTTCCGCTCGCACTTCTCCTCTTGCCTATATATTTTAATTGTAATTATTAATTTATTAATTAATTAATTTATTTACCTATTTATTTATTTATATATGTTTTTTTTTTTTTTTTTTTTTTCTCTTCCTCTGTGGGGGGGAGCGGTTGCGGGCGGGTCGGTGTCTGGTGTCCGCTGTCGCATTGTGGGGATTCCTCCTTTTTTTTTTTTTTTTTATTTATTTATTTATTTTTTTGGGGGGTTTGGCATGTCTGTTGTCTCGGGGGGCCGGCGGGCCTGCTGGGTGGGGGTCCTGCTGGCGGCGCGCCGCTGGTGTGTGGGGGTCCGGGCGGCTCCGGTGGGGGTGGTGTTGGGGGGCCGGTCTGGGCGGGCTGGCTGCGCTGGCTGGGTATTCGGGTGGGTTTTCCCTCCTGGAGGCATGGCGGGGCTGCTCTGTTCCCGCTGATCGCGGCGGGTGGGGCTGCGGGGCGGGTGGGGGCTTGGATTGGCTATGGCCGGCGCGTGTTGGGGAGCCGGGGCGGCGGAGCTGCTCTGGCCGCGTATCAGGGCCTGGTGCGGGCGGCGGGGGGGGGGGGCGGCGGACGTGGCTGAGCTGCTTTGGCTTCGTCCTGTGGGGGGGGCGGCGTGGTTCGCTCCGCTCTGGCTTTGTGCTGCCCCTCGGGCTGCTGGGGGGGGGGGTGGTTGCGCCGGCTGCGGTCTGCTCTTCTTGCGGTTTTGCGCCGGGCGGCTTTTCTGCTCTCGGGCTGATTCTGTGCGCGGTGTGTTTCGTTGCGCGCTGTTGGCATCGGTTTTGGTGGGGTGGGGCTGCGCTTTTGGCCGGGGGGGCTTTTGGGGGGGTCCCGCGGCGCTTGCGGCCGGTTCGCGGCGGATGCGCGTGGGCCCCGGCCGGGGGCGGGGCCGCCTGAGTGTTTTTTCTGGGTGGTGCGGTCGCGGTGAGTGTTGCGGCCGGTCGCCGGGGCTTGGTGCTGGGGGGCGGGGCGTGTTTCGGTGCTCTGTGGGGCTGGGGCGTTTCGGTCGGCGCCGTGGGGGGGCTAGTGTTCGGTGCCCGGCCCTACTTCGGGGCGGCTGGCTGCCGGCGGGGCCCGCGGACTCGTCACCGCGGCTCCCCGGGGCGCCGGCATGGCGGTGGCTGGGGGGCTTCTTCGTGGCTGTCTCTCCTCCTGCCTTGGTGGGGGTCTGATTTCCGGGACTGGCCCCGCCTTGGTGCCTCCGCTTCTGGGGTCCCTTTGGGCGCCTGGGGCTTTGGGTCTCCCGGCGCTGGACTCAGTGCTCTGGGGGGTGTGCCTCTCCGGCTCTCCACAACCACTATTGAGCATTTTTTCTATGGTTAAAACTTTACATGCACAAGTTCACCCTCACAAACAACTACAGGTGCTAGGCTTCAGGTACTTAGAGATTCACTTCCAAACAGAAACCCCCCATTCATATCTTCAGGTAACACAGAGTACATGTCAGACTTAATAATATTACTTTAGCGATAGTTTCAAGGTGTTTGCTTTATTGTATATCTCGTACCATGTCTTTTGGTTGTGCTGTTCTTTTTTTTTTTCTCATCTCATTGCAGGTGATGAAGCAGACTGAAAATGTTTTGTCATTGTCTCCCTCCTATCTCCTCTTTCTTTCATCTTTTGTCCTTTTTTTTCTTTTTCTTTTTCCTTCTTCTTCTTCTTCTTCTGTTTTTCTGTTCTATTTACATTGCAGTGTCCATATGAACTGTAAAACTCCCTGCATAATTATAATAAAGCAATTTATATACATGAAACAAGTGGAGCAGTATGGCAACTGCAATACCGCTACACTTGTGAAAGTAAAATCTGTTGGGTTCCTTTTGGCATCAAGACAATTATTCTTATTGCCCCCTTGCCAGACAGGACACTGTAAAAAAAAAAGATAAATAAAAAATTACAAAAATAAAAAAAAAACAGGATCTGTGACAGAGAGCGGTCCTGTCCGAGTCCCTCATCCACTGGGAGCAGGTCTGACTTAGTACCATCCATGTGAACCAAACTCCTGCTCCGCCTGTACAGAGACCTGATGGACGATATTTGGGGTTCTTTGTATTGGCATCAGAAAAAGATAAATCAGCTTCGAGAATCACCCCATGAATGATGGGGAATGAAAATGAGCATCAGCCATAAAAACCCTTTTTATTTAAAAATTCGGTGTATAACATTCATGCATAAACACCACATTTTATTTCAGTGTTAAATTCTGTTTAAAGTAACAGATCATTAAAAAATGTCTCCAGACCTTTACTGGTTGATGGTTTTCTTTATTCAAACCCCTCTGGTTTTTAATTGGTCACCCCTGGTTTAATGTTTCTAAATATTTATTTCCCGTCATGTCTCCATCCAATGCAGATCATTGGCTCCACCCACATCTAGTGAAAACTAGTGTGATTGGATGAGTCATAGAACGCAAACACTCATTGGTTAGCTAAAGGAAATCATCAGAAGCAAGCAGGTGTTCTTCAAACTGCTAACGTGAATTGTCTATGCCATGCTACAATGTGGGATTCAGAAAAAGATGTTGAAATGTCTGAAAGGTCGGACACAGGCGAGAGCGTATCGGTAGACGGAGACCAACAAGACCTCCCTTATCCTTGGTCCTATCTCTAAGAATTATTAGAAATAGTCGTAAAATTGAGCTTTTAATTCATATAGTGGCATTTGGATGTTTTTTTTAAAGGTTACTTTATACTTTTATACTTTAAAGTAGTTTTTGGAGCACATACTTTTTCACTTTTACTTGAGTAAAGAGGTCAAGTTGATACTTCAACTTTTACCAGAGTGTTTTTAACCTGCAGTATCTATACTTCTACTGAAGTAACAAATGTGTGAACTTTAGACACCACTGATATATTATTATTAGAGCTAATGTTTCAATAAACAAATACTTTATGTTTTACAAGGTTAAACTTTTTTGCACTGCTGAAATTTTCACATGAACAAACTCAATGATAAATTCTCATTTCTTGCATGCATTGTTTTTTTTCCCATCTTACGATTAAAGTGACTCTAATCTCAGGATTTAATCTGTTACCTAAGGACAATCCCAAAAAGAGCTGCGGTTTGATCCGCTAAGCTAATATCTGTCGTCTTGACAACCACACGTACACTATGCAACGCAACAATATTCCCAGTGCTTTGAGGATTTATTCCGCCATAAAGGCTGAAGCACAAACATGTTAAATTCCTTCCCTGTACGAATGCGGCCTGGTTTCACACATACTATCAGGGATGTGTGACTGGAGGGCCCCATGTGCTAATAGGCTTCACCAGCCGGCTACATTCCACAGCTGCGTGGCTCAAGGTCCAAAGGCACATTCACACACACACACAGTTTAATTCCTACTCAGCTGGGAACACCTTCAAACAACAACTGAGGGTCTAAAATGAACATCTACTGCTTTCAAAGTTTTAGGTTACCAGAGTTCAGTCGGGATTTAGAGCATTTTCATCTCGTATTTATAGAATAAAACTGTATTATTCTAAGTGGACATAGAAATTGTCCCCCCAATCCAGATTTGATCCTAAACTCCAGGATCTTTAGTGTGATGATTTATTCTGCATCCCTTCATTGGCTCAAAGCTCTGTGATGTCACTGTCAGCAGTGGTCAGTCAGAAGAGCTGATGCTGATGTGGTTTAATGTGGATCATATTCGACACCGTCTGTCAGAGAGAAATGAGTGTTATCAGGATTATGGCTCCAGCACAGCTGTGGGACTGATCAGAATAATCCTTAACAATTCCCAGCAGATGAATCGTATACTTTCAGAATTATCCACAGATATTTCCTCTGCCATTTATAATTCTCCAAAAGGAATCACACCCAAAGGCACCACTGAGTATTAGGGCCAGGCTAGAGATTTTTTACATTTTTTTATTTTGAGAATAAAGTCGTAACGTTATATTACGAGAAAGAAGTCATCATACAACAACCTGTTTTAGAAAGAAAGCTTGGAGCTCCGCCCAGCAGATGACGGCCGACCAGCTCCACCAATCAGCAACCAGAGTCCACTTTGACCTCCTGCCCAGTTTGATGCTGCTGCTAAAAGATTTCCTGATTTGTCAAACCGATGCTAAAGTATAACTTCACACGATGCTCCACATTCCTCATTTTATAGAAGAAGGTGCTTCTTGTAGGATTTGTCATAAAATACAACTTCTTTTAGCAATTTTAAGACTTTATTCTCTTAATATTACCACTTTATTCTTGTGATTTTATTGCTTTATTAACATGAGTTCTGGTAGTTATCAGTTGCGCTCCTCTCAGTGGTTACTTTTTAATGTACCCCGAGCTTCAACTGAGTTGGGAAAAACTGCATTCTCCAAGTCTGCACCTTGGGGATGGAATAACCTCCAGTAAGAGCTCAAATTAGAAACTCTCGTGTCCATTAATGAATTTAAAGCCACCATGAAGAATGTAGTGATGGAGATATGTGCTTGTTTTTCTTGAGATGCTCAATGTGTTTAAACATACTGCTCTGATTTTATGATGAAAAATGTAAAATGTTGTAAATATGTATGAACTTCCTGTGGTTTGGCTGCTACCTTGGCCAGGTCTCTCTTGAAAAAGAGATTCTGAATCCCAATGGGACTTCCTGGTTAAATAATAAAAAATAAAATAATAATAATGTTACAACTTTATTCTCGGAATATTATTACTATTCTCATTGTGACTTTATTCTTGTAATTTTAAAATTTTATTCTCGTATGTTTCGACTTTGTTCCGGAAATAGCATAAGAAAAAAATCTCTAGCCTGGCCCTAATACTCCGTCGTATGCAGGAGACAGATACGGTAAAAAGGGAAAATTCACGGTGGCTCCGAAATGCGAGCCACATCAACAAATCCTTCAACATAACAACACATTTGAAAAGGCAACAACATATCTAGAAACACAACACCATATTTAGGAGTGCAACAAAATGCTGGTGAAGATTCTCAGTCATCCAGGTCAAAATCATTCCAAAAAAGTAAAAAAAAAAACTATCCAAGTTTGAAGACATTTTGCTTCCCATCCAGGAAAACAGGTGGTTTGAGAGGGGCGGGATCTGACAAGAAAGAAAAACCAACCTTAAACAGAGGTGGGGGACTCAGATTTCAGCTTTCAAAAACCTACAAAGCAGCAATTTAGTGGATTCCTTCCCGCTATCATCGCAACCCCAACCCCTTTACAGGGGAACAGAAGACCTCACCTATTCAGCCAGACCAACAGTTCCCTTTAACTACCCCTCTTTCAGAGACATAGACAGGTATGGGGCCTTGCAGGCTAACAAAGAAGCCAAAGCAACCCAGTTCCTAAGGGTGGACCCATTTATCCGTTTCTATTTGCATGTTTTCTAAGCAAAATCAAGGCTTTGTTGGGCTACTGTATTAAACCTGGAACTCAACGCTATTTCTGACATTTTAAATTGAAAAAGCTTCATGGATGGAAGAGAAACGTCTTCAAACTTGGAAATGAACTCCAGTGGATTGATATTTTAAACTTTTTTTAAGCACAACAGCATTTTCAGAATCACAATGGCGACCTACCACATGAAGTAGATATTAGTGGGAAACCCCTGTCCTCCCTGATTGGCCTACGGCAACATTTGTCTTTTAAAAGTGAAGCCATTCTATGTTTTCTGTTCAGACATTGAATGAGCGAAGGTAAGCAGAATGACTTCTGGTGTAAAAGATAACTGTTGCCGCCGTCCAATCAGCAAGGACTCATATTTACCACTAAAACCTACTTCTGTGTTTTTCAATTTGTATTTGTTTAAAGTTGATTATCATAGCGTTTTTTGAAAAGGTTGGGCGTTTTTTTTAAATATGTGGTCGTGTCATAGGGATCATATTTAAATATCAACTCATTGTGGCTCATTCATACATTTGAACAGCTCTCCGCTGCCCTCACCAACAGTCAAGCTAACTTTCAACTAGTCTGTATTTAAATCAGTTATTTAAACGTAAAAGCCTCAGTGGGAACAGGACACACTGCTGAAGTGAAGGTTGCTTTAAATCCCACATTGTTTGTGTTATAACTGCAGGGGCAGACATGAATGCTCACACATGTATTAAAGTGACTCATTCTGCTCTAATCAGCAACGTCCAAGACTCACTGAAACACACCTAATCAACTGCTAAAACGCTCATAATCCAAATAAGATTAAAGTGCAGATTTTATTCCCCAACAGCATGAAAAACGCGCTGCTTTTTACATCCCATCCATGATGTTTTCATTTTAAAATGTTTCAAAAAGGGTCTAGATTTTTAACACTTTATCAAATCAAACCAATACTAGGAGTACTTAAATATCCTAACCCTCTAAGAGTTAAAGTCGTAGGAAAGTCATATTTAAATCCATCCATCCATCCATTTTCCGACACGCTTAATCCCAAGTGGGGTCACAAGGGTCATTTTTAAATGTCAAATCGTAAACTTAAACATGTATATAAATGTACTCTTTATCAGACTATATTGTCCCAAAATTTAGGAAATTTCTATTTGTAAAAAAATCCTGTTTTAATATCTGTGGGGGTTTTTTTGTTATCTTATTCAGGCCAGTTAATTATACATCAGCCTGAACACCTAAATTCGGCCTATCATATATCAACGGTCGTCTGTCAATCACATTTTTTAGGTCCTAGCATCTTGATTCATATGTCGCAGCTAATATACGCAACGGTTGTAATAATAAATCAGAATCCTTTCCTTTCCCATTGAGTTGCGTCCCAGTGTTCACGGGGATGGACGTCTGTGTCTTCGGCAGGCGCAGAGCTAAAAGAACTGGCAGCGTTGCGAGGAAGCCTTCTACACCAAACCAAGCTTCTGCTGCCCTGGCGTCCTCTTATGTCTCTGTTTTAATTTACATATTTTGCTCTTTACCAATTCCTATTTTTAAGGGGATAAAAAAGAAATGTTTTCAGTAAAATATTCCTACCATTGTAAATGACACTAACGGACACATTTCTAAACCCATTGGAAGTGATTGCACTGGTTCCTCAGAAGCTTTTTTCATATTTTCATGCGATTCAACAGACAACATTCCCACACAATGTCAAGGAGCTCCTGTAATTGAAGTCTGCAGGCTGTAAAGGCCAGCAGGCTTTGTACGTGTGCATCAGTCCACCCTGCTGAGTGTCTCCATGAGCAAAACACTGAATCCCTGCTGGCTCTCAGGTGCTGCTTCCTCCCTCACCCTGATCTATGACCTCTCAACAGGAGGAAAAAAGGTGATTCCACCACCATGCAGATGAATAATGTATCAGTCCGTTATTGCAGCTCTGCGCTGATTGTTACCTCCCTGTTGCCATGAACCCGGACAATATGGAGAGGTCAGGGGTTCTGGGTGTGCTCACACGTCTCTTTTCTCAGACAGAAGAAGACTAAACAATGTCGGAGGGGGGGGTCTGGGATTCACAGACTGGACCTTCTCCGAAACATCTGGAGCCTTAATATTCTGAGAAACAGTGTTAGAAACAGCAGAATGGAGCACTGCAAAAATGATCTAGAAATAAGTAAAAATATCTTAAATTAACTGTATTTACCCTTAATTTGAATGAAATAGTTTGCCAATGGAATGAGTATTTTACTCTTAAAATAAGATTATTAGAGAATATTCTCTTGAAATAAGGCAATGCAATTGTGTTTTCTTATTTTAGGTGTAAATTGTCTTGTTCCATTGGCATAATTTCCGTTTTATCTCCTCAATCCAAGAATAAATGCACTTATTTTAAGAAGAGAGACACTTTGCTAATGAAACGAGACAATTTGCATTTAAGATAAGAAAAAACTATTGGATTGACTTATTTTAAGTGCATATTATCTGACTTTAAGTGTAAAAATACTAATTCCATTGGCAGATCATCTTATCAACCAGCTCAAATTAAGTGTAAAAACAATTAATTTAAGGAATTTTTGCTAATTTCTAGATCATTTTTGCAGTGTGTAGATCTCATAAAATTAATTCAGTCTGGTTTTAATCTATTTTTATGTACGCTTCTATTATTCCTTCAACAGCCAAAGAATTGTCAAATAATGATTCTCTAAATATATATATATATATATATTTATATATATATATATATTTGGTACCTCAAAAAAACAAACAAACAAAAAAAAAAAAAAAACACCCACTCTCCATGTAGCATCACATGTACATTGTATTAGTGTTATTTTAAGCATTAATCATATTTTTGAAAGGTCAAAATTAAGAGAAAAGGACACAACAGAAATATTGAAATAATTAAAACAAGCCAGTAAAGATCAATACTGATCAGTGTCTAATCTGGTTAGAATACCCAGGAAGGGATTCCATATCCGGTCAAATTTAGCTGATGTTGTACAGAATGGATAATTTTTTCAGGAGTACAGTATGACAACAGTTCATTGATCCAATGTTTCTTGTTTGGAGGCTCCATAGATTTCCAGTTTTTAAGTATATTTTTTTCTCTGCAGATGATGCTAATAAAACAAAGTATTTCTGACAAGGATTTAATTTCAAGGACATAAAATCTCCAAGTATTCATATCCTGGTCAGAATCTAAAGAAAGCCCACAAACTGCTGAGGTTATCAGAATTACATTGTTCTATTAGGTTTGCAAGTGAACACAATTCTAAAACATATGAAGAAGATCCCCTACAGACGTCCTCTGGCATTTGTCAGTGATACTGGTATTCAGCTTATTAAAACTATAGGGGGTATAAATTGAATTTGCTGTGTTTTGTTGATATTAATACTGTTTGAGATGAGTTTAGTTATCTGCTACAACTTTTGTCATAGCTGCAGTCTCTAAATTATATTCTAATCTTTTTCCACCTTTCATGTGATCATCATATAATATAGTTAAAAAAAGCAAGAAAAAAACCCCCAAACCTACAAGGAAGGAAATAGAAAATAAAGCTGCAGTGACCTGCCTCCATACAAGTGGAAATTATATAAGAATTATTGAATCACCTTTCATTCATTTACTGCTGCCATCAGTTAAGCTGGAATACACTTCAGCTCTATGTACGAGTTTTACAGCATTTTCTTATTTACATAATTTAGCTAATGCAACAGTTTGCAGAGATTTTTAGAAATATGTTTAAACATAAAACTCTGAAAAGAAAAGCCAAAGTGTGCCCTAATATTTGTATGTCCAGGTCAGACTTTTGCCATTTTTCGTTGCATTTGTTACGTCTTTCTGTTAGATCTTTCCAGTAGTTTTACTCTAGTTATCTTCCTCCATTCCATCACAAATAGAAGCTTTTTTAGTCAGTTTGGTAAATCGTGTTGACTGTTGCACTGCAGCATGACGCACAGCTCCCCTCTGTCATCCAACAGATATACTGATCAAGTCTATTTGAGACAAATGATGCATCCATATCCAAAATGCAGAATGCATTAATATCCATCAAAGAGATGAGCCACATAGGAAGTCAGATGTGAAAATAGTAAAGTAGAACCAGTAAATGTGCAAAATAAGAAGCAATGATGATGGATTTGTTTGCAATCAGTCCCGTATCCCCCAGTCCCCTTCTCATTCAGCTCATCATCCCTATGCTGTTTCCCACTACAGTAGTAGCCATTCAGAATTTCCCCATTTTCAAGCCAAGGGACCATCCTTTCAGTAAAGGGGGTGGAGTCAGAGGAAAGAAATACTGAATTACAGCGTCTGTCCAAGAGATGATGCTTCTCTTTAGATCTTAATGTCAATAAATCATGACAGAAATAATATTTTAGAAGCCAAGGACCAGCCAATGATCAGCCAAAGACCAGGCAATGATCAGTCAATGATCAGCCAAGGGCCCATCAAGGAAAGTGTGGAAATTTTGAATGGCTACTACTATATATATAAAACTCACCTATCGCGGGTGGTCTTTCCCCCCTTTTTCCTCCAAGCTGGGGACCCAATGACCACGGGTACCACTTATGCCGATAGCTTCCAGGTTTTCTCCAGCTCTTCTCTGAGCCTCTGGTATTTCTCTAGTTTTTCATGTTCCTTTTTTCCTGATGTTGCAGTCACTTGGTAGTGCTATGTCAGCCACATGTCAGCGGCTTTCCTCTGCTTTTGTCCACCACCACAATGTCCGGTTGGTTTGCCATTACTCTTCGGTCCGTCTGTATCTGGAAATCCCATAGGATCTTGGCTTGATCATTCTCTACCACGTCTTGAGGTGTTTTCAACTTTGACCTTGGGTTTTCCAGCCCATACTCTGCACAGATGTTCCTGTACACTATTCCAGCCAATTGGTTATGGCGCTCCATGTTAGCTTTCACTGCCACCATCTTGCACCCGGCAGTTATGTGCTGGATTGTCTCATAGGCCTCTATTTCACAGTCTGCACCTGGGGTCTTGTCTGGTGTGGTAGATCTGGGCCTCTATTGCTCTGGTGCTTAGGGCCTGCTCGTGTGCAGCCATGTTGAGTGCCTCTGTGCTGTCCTTCAGTCCAGCTTTGTCTAGCCATTGGTAGGATTTCCTGATATCTGCCACTTTGATTATGGTCTTGAGAAGTGGAGGCACTGGCTAGAAGAAATTGAACTCCCACTAATGATTTGGTCAGACCATAAGAATCTGGCATATCTTCAGTCTTCCAAGCGCCTAAACCCACGACAGTATCGTTGGTCCCTTTTCTTCTCCCGTTTCAATCTTAATATCACCTATGGTCCAGATTCCAGGAATACAAAGCCAGATGCTTTCTCCAGACTTCACTCTCCTGATGAACCCCCAGAGTCTTTTGAACCCATTCTTCTCACCACATGTACCATTGGTTCCCTCACCTGGGATCTGGAAGGGGCTATCCAGGAGGCACAGATCTCTGAACAAGACCCAGGCGGAGGTCTACCTAACCATTGGTATGTTCCCACCTCCATTTGTGCTCGCACCATCCATTGGGGACACTCATCATGATTCATCATCATTTCCTGTCATCCTGGAGTAAGTCGCACTATTGGTCTACTCCGTCAATATTTCTGGTGGCCATCCTTGAATAAGGATGCTATTCAATATGTCTGTGCTTGTTCTACCTATGCTAGAAACAAGACGTCCCATCATCCCCCCTCTGGTCTCCTGCAACCGTAGTCCATCCCTAGTCGGCCCTGGTCCCACATCTCCCTCAACTTTATTACTGGTCTTCCCACATCCAAACATAAAAAGGTTATTCTCAGCATCACTGATCGTTTTTCTAAGGCTTGTCATCTAGTTGCTCTCTCCAAACTCCCCTCAGCATTAGAAACAGCTAGACTTCTCTTCTATCACGTCTTCCCTCATAGAATCCCAACGGAAATTGTCTCTGACAAAGGACCCCAATTAGTCTCCCAGGTCTGGAGAAACTTCTGTTCAGCTCTTGGTGCCTGGCCTTGCCTGTCTTCTGATTTTCCTCCCCAATCTAATGGACAGTGTGAACGCCTCAATCAAGAACTCAATCAATATCCTTCGGTGTGTTTGTGCTTCCAACCCCACCTAATGGAGTGCACACTTACCCTGGAATTTGCCCATAACACTCATATATCATCATCCTCAGGTCTGTCTACCTTTCAGGCATCTCAAGGTTTCCAGCCTTAATTTCTATCAAACACTTTCCCAGATAAGATCATCCCTTCTGTCAAACACCTTAAACAGAACTGCCAAAGAATCTGGAATAAGACTAAGGCTGGTCTTCAAAGGACATCTGCCCAAAATAAGTGTCTTGCTGATCGCAAGAGAGTTCCGGCTCCTATCTACATACCTGGTCAAAAGGTTTGGTTGTCTTCAAAACACTTTCTATTTAAGTCATACACCCACAAATTATCCCATAGATTCCTCGGTCCGTTCATCATTGAGTCAGTTCTTAGTCCATCTGCTGTTCGCCTCAAGTTGCCTTCCCACCTCCGAGTGTATCCTGTGTTCCTTGTTTCCCTGATCAAGCCCTACCTCTCAAGTGCCCTGTGTCCTCTTCCCGAGCTCCCTCCCACTGCCCGTATCAGGGTAGGCAATACTCTGTGGACTGGGAGGGATATGGTCCTGAGGAGTGGTCCTGGGTTCCAGGCTCCTTCATTTTGGATCCCTCCCTCATCAATGACTTTGAGTGTTCGGCGGTCTCTGTTTCAGGTCGTCCGCCAGGCGGCGTCCGTTGAAGGGGGGGGTACTGTTAAATCTTTGTGTTTTGTTTACTTACAGGGTGGCAGGCTTGATGGGTTCCAGCTGTTACTCCTTGATGACAATCAGTGGGGGCCTTTATATTGGAGCAGTTTCCTGGAACAAGCTGCCAGTTGGTTCCACTCTCTCCGTGGTAAAACAGGTCAAGCTCTGTTAGCGAACTAAGCTCCCAGATTCTTCTCTAACCTCTCCTTGCTCTCTTCCTCCACAGAACCAGATCACCAGGATCAGGTCCGTTTCCATCATCTCCTCGCTGCTCTGGAACTGTCTCCTCTCCAGTGACTCCTTACAGGACCAATCAGGCTGCGTGTCCACCCTCAATACAACACAAGACCATCCGCTGGAAAAGGATCCAAACTCAGACTCTCTCTCCCCCTGTTGCTGTTTAAGTTGACTGAGCTCTGCTCCATTAAACCAGGAAATAAACCGTTAAATCTGCCTCTGTGTCCGCAGTTGTCCCCTGTTTAAGAGTCTGGTCAAGCATCATGTCAGTTAGATTTTCTCCCGACCTCACGATTCCTTATCGGGAGGTGGTCGTGAGAGGCTGATCACCCCTCGTTACCCCCTATACACTACACGATGCACAACATAGAATCAGGCTGAAAGTCGGCCCGATCGAAAAAGTGGAAGATGACAACAATTAATATTTGAAAATATTGCAATAAGATAGACAAATATCAAGTTATTTTCAAATTCTGGTATTTAAAAGGCTAAAATAATAAATATATATATTTATATAATTACAAAACAAGTAATTTGGGGAAACCATAACCTTTTCTGTTTTATTTTTCAACATAAGATAAAACCAATACTTATGGTAGGAAATGTATATCTTTGTTCACTTACTTTCTTTTTTTTTAGCAATGTTTATGTCAATCCTGCTGCCTTCATTCACATGGCAAATTTTGTCCTGAAAGTATTTTAAATATGGAATTATTACATACCTTTCAATTAATAATGTTTTTCTAATTCAGAGTAATTTTCATGTGAATGTGCTTTACTGGAGGCATCCATGTTTGTCAAAGAACACTACTCGTCACGGTGCGGTATCGGCTGTTGATCAAGTCCCAGTGCTGTATCTGGTGTTTGTCACAATGCGCTATTATCCAAGTCATCTTGAAAACATTCTTCTTCCAAATGTTGGCTACATATTACGGGTTTTTTCTCTGGCCAGAAGTTCGATGGCAAATCCTCCCTCTTCAAGTTGGCGATCCAACGACCAACCCGTCCGTGGAGGATCAGGAATCAGAAAGGTGGAATAACTCTTTTTTTCACTTTTACCCGATGTATTCCAGCATCCAGCTGCCATGCACGTGGGCATTGTCAGTTTCACTATATCCATCCATCCATCCATCCATCCATCCATCTTCCTCCGCTTATCCGGGGTCGGGTCGCGGGGGCAGCAGCTTAAGAAGGGAGGCCCAGACTTCCCTCTCCCCAGCCACTTCTTCCAGCTCTTCGGGAGGAACCCCAAGGCTTTCCCAGGCCAGCGGAGAAACATAGTCTCTCCAGCGTGTCCTGGGTCTTCCCCGGGGCCTCCCCCCGGTGGGACGTGCCCGGAACACCTCACCAGGGAGGCGTCCAGGAGGCATCCTAAACAGATGCCCAAGCCACCTCAACTGGCTCCTCTCGACGTGGAGGAGCAGCGGCTCTACTCCGAGTCCCTCCCGGATGACCAAGCTTCTCACCCTATCTCTAAGGGAGAGCCCAGCCACCCTACGGAGGAAACCCATTTCAGCCGCTTGTATCCGCGATCTCGTTCTTTCGGTCATGACCCAGAGTTCATGACCATAGATGAGGGTAGGAACGTAGATCGACCGGTAAATCGAGAGCTTCGCTTTTTGAATCAGCTCTCTCTTCACCACGACGGACCGGTACAGCACCCGCTTCACGGCAGACGCTGCACCAATCCGCCTGTCGACCTCCCGCTCCCTTCTTGCCTCATTCGTGAACAAGATCCCAAGATACTTAAACTCCTCCACTTGGGGCAGGACACCCCCCCTGACCCGGAGAAGGCACTCTACCCTTTTCCGGCTCAAGACCATGGCCTCGGATTTGGAGGCACTGATCCCCATCCCGGCCGCTTCACACTCGGCTGCGAACGATCCAGCGAGAGCTGCAGATCACGACCTGATGAAGCCAATAGGACCACATCATCTGCAAAAAGCAGAGACGCAATCCTAAGGCCACCAAAACGGATCCCCTCAACACCTTGGCTGCGCCTAGAAATTCTGTCCATGAAGGTAATGAACAGAATCGGTGACAAAGGGCAGCCCTGGCGGAGTCCAACTCTCACTAGAAACGAGCCCGACTTACTGCCGGCAATGTGGACCAGACTCTGACACCGGTCATACAGGGACCTGACAGCCCGTATCAAAGGGCCCGGCACCCCGTACTCCCGGAGAACCCCCCACAGGGCCCCCGAGGGACACGGTCGAACGCCTTCTCCAAGTCCACAAAGCACATGTCAAACCACAAAGTCAACTTCCATTGCTATGCTGACGACACACAACTTTACATTAAAATGACTCCTCCCAGCTCCCCCGCCAACTCTGTCACCCGCCTCAGCTCCTGCCTGGAGGATATAAAGGCGTGGATGAGTCAAAACTTCCTGCAGCTTAATGCCTCAAAAACAGAGGCCATCCAAACTGGTACTCCTCATCAACTCCGTTCCTCTCCTCTCACCTCTGTTTCATTCTGTGGTCATACCATTCCCCTCTCTCCCTCTGTTACAAGCCTTGGGGTCAAGCTTGACCCCCACCTCTCCTTTGACAATCATGTCACCTCCATCTGCAAAACGTCCTTCTTTCACCTCCGTAAGGCTCGTCCACGCCTTCGTCTCCTCCAGGCTGGATTACTGCAACGCTCTCCTCGTCGGGATCTCTGGCAGGAGCCTTCAGAAGCTCCAGTATGTACAGAACAGCGCTGCCAGGGTCCTGATGAGGGTGAGGAAACACCAGCACATCACTCCCATCCTTCACACTTTACACTGGCTGCCCATTCACGCCCGTATAGAGTACAAGATTCTTCTGCACACCCATCACTGTGTGCACGGTGCGGCCCCCATGTATCTCACTGAACTGCTCACACCACACACCTCTTCCCGGACCCGGTCAGGCCAACAGCACCGTCTGGCCCCACCCAGGACACGGCTAAAAACAATGGGCGACAGGGCCTTCGAAGCCGCAGCTCCCCGTCTGTGGAATGCCCTCCCAGACCACCTTAGGGCCCCACAGACGGTGGATTGTTTTAAGAAAGGACTAAAAACTTTCCTTTTTAGAAATTCCTACAATTGTTGATTTTAGATTTTTTTTTTAATAGGCTACGTATGCCTTTTAATGTATTGATTTTAATGACTGTCTTTTTACTCTGTTTTTAATGTTATGGTCTTTTAAACTTGTTTTGTAGCACTTTGAGATTTGAAATCAAATGTAAAGTGTATGATAAATAAAATTCATTATTATTATTATTATGTAGACTGGTTGGGCGAACTCCCATGCACCCTCCAGGACCCTGCTGAGGGTGTAGAGCTGTTCCAGCGTTCCACGACCAGGACGGAAACCACACTGCTCTTCCTGAATCCGAGGTTCGACTATCCGACGGACCCTCCTCTCCAGCACCCCCGAATAGACCTTGCCGGGGAGGCTTAAGAGTGTGACTCCCCTGTAATTGGAGCACACCCTCCGGTCCCCCTTTTTGAATAGGGGGACCACCACCCCAGTCTGCCAATCCAGGGGGACTGCCCCCGATGTCCAAGCAATGTTGAAGAGTCGTGTCAGCCAACACAACCCTACAATATCCAGGACCTTCAGGAACTCCGGGCGGATCTCATCCACCCCCGGGGCCCTGCCACCGAGGAGCTTTTTAACCACCTCGGCGACCTCGCCCACAGAGATTGGAGAGCCCAGTCCAGAGTCCCCAGGCCCAGCTTCCTCAATGGAAGACATGTTGGTGGGATTGAGGAGGTCTTCGAAGTATTCCGCCCACCGACCCACAACGTCCCGAGTCGAGGTCAGCAGCACACCATCCCCACTATAAACAGTGTTGGTGCTGCACCGCTTCCCCCTCCTGAGACGCCGGATGGCGGACCAGAATCGCTTCGGAGCCGTGCGGAAGTCTTTCTCCATGGCCTCTCCAAACTCCTCCCACACCCGAGTTTTTGCCTCAGCAACCATCCGAGCCGCATGCCGCTTCGCCCGCCGGTACCCATCAGCTGATTCCGGAGTCCCACAGGCCAAAAAGGCCCGATAGGCCTCCTTCTTCAACCTGACAGCATCCCTCACCGGAGGTGTCCACCAACGGGTTCGAGGGTTGCCGCCATGACAGGCACCAACAACCTTGCGGCCGCAGCTCAGATAAGCCGCCTCGACAAGGGAGGAACGGAACATTGTCCACTCGGACTCAATATCCCCCACCTCCCCCGGGATGTGTTCGAAGTTCTGCCGGAGATGGGAGTTAAAGCTCCGCCTAACAGGGGACTCCGCCAGACGTTCCCAGCAGACCCTCACAACACGTTTGGGCCTGCCAGGTCTGACCGGCATCCTCCCCCACCACCGGAGCCAACTCACCACCAGGTAGTGGTCAGTGGAAAGCTCAGCACCTCTCTTCACCCGAGTGTCCAAGACATACGGCCGCAAGTCCGATGAAACGATGACAAAGTCGATCATCGAACTGCGGCCTAGGGTGTCCTGGTGCCATGTGCACATATGGACACCCTTATGCTTGAACATGGTGTTCGTTATGGACAATCCATGACGAGCACATAAGTCCAACAACAGAACACCACTCGAGTTCAGATCAGGGCAGCCATTCCTCCCAACCACGCCCCTCCAGGTCTCACTGTCATTGCCCACGTGAGCGTTGAAGTCTCCCAGCAGAACAAGGGAGTCCCCAGGAGGGGCACCCTCCAGTACCCCCTCTAAGGACTCCAAGAAGGGTGGGTAATCTGAACTGTTGTTCGGCCCGTAAGCACAGACAACAGTCAGAACCCGTCCCCCCACCCGTAGGCGGAGGGAGGCTACCCTCTCGTTCACCGGGGTAAACCCCAACGTACAGGCGCCGAGATGGGGGGCAACAAGTATGCCCACTCCTGCCCGGCGCCTCTCACCGTGGGCAACTCCAGAGTGGAAGTATTTCCAGCCCCTCTCAAGGAGACTGGTTCCAGAACCAGAACCATGCGTTGAGGTGAGACCGACTATTTCTAGCCGGAACCTCTCAGCCTCACACACTAGCTCCGGTTCCTTCCCCACCAGCGAGGTGACATTCCACGTCCCAAGAGCCAGCTTCTGCAGCCGAGGATCAGACCGCCAGGGTCCCCTCCCCCGGCCGCCACCCAACACACATTGCACCCGACCCCTATGGCCCCTCTCACGGGTGGTGGGCCCATGTAAGGGGGGACCCATGTTTCCTCTTCGGGCTGAGCCCGGCCGGGCCCCATGGGTAAAAGCCCGGCCACCAGGCGCTCGCCATCGTGCCCCCCCTCCAGGCCTGGCTCCAGAGTGGGGCCCCGGTGACCCGCGTCCGGGCGAGGGAACGCTGGATCCAAATATTGTACTCATCATAAGGGTCTTTGGTTTCACTATAGCTCTGGTGAAATTCAATGGTGAAGTCCTCTGGAAATCTTCAATAATTGTTGTTGATTGCAGATGTGTCTAGTAGTTCCCATTGATTTAGCTTGTAAAGCGGGGAGAATGGCGCTAGGCTTACTGCACAGTGACGTCACTGCTGGAAGATGGCAGGAGGGAGGGGCTACTATATTTGGGCAAAAATGGCCGCTCCCAGACTAGCTGAAAAGTATTGTTTTTATTTTTTTACTGATTAACACTAAATTGATCAGCAAATATCACCGTGAATGTATTAGTTTTAGGTATTGATAATGAGCCATTGATTATTTTGATCCTTGCTGACCGGACTTTTCCATTAAATTGGATCAGCCAGCCCAGGTATCGGTTTCAGATTGCATCTGGAAAAAACGGGATTGGTGCATCTCTAGTGCAAAGTATATCCGATGACAAGATTAACTGTTTACCGTTTGTTGACTTGTCTGTTGAAATGGGAAGAATGAGCTCAGCAGATGCAACCTAACAACTTTAAAACAACAAAGCTTGTGTACAAACAAGAACACACACTTTAATATCAATGGTAAGCATTTTTGATCAAAATAAAAAAATGTTTTTATTAAATTAAGTTATGAAGGGCACACTAACCTAAAACTTTTTTTGTAAAACATTGATGCGTCTCACTAAAGAGGAAAGGAAAAGTGCCTTGCAGTAGAACTTTAGATTATTATAATCCAGATTGTCTCTAATTCAAAATAATCTCCAATAAACCAAAGTCAAGGTATTCATCATCATCATCATCATCATCATCATCATCATCATCATCATCATCATCATCATCATCATCATCATCATCATCATCATCATCATCACACCTCTGTGTTGTAACCCAGCACCAGAGACTTCTCCCTCGGTCCCAGGGAACACGGAGCCTCCACCTATCGGAGGCTGCGGCCTCCTCTCTGATCTCTCGGTGGCCGCGCGCATTGGACGCCCTGCGCGTCAGTCGCGTGGAGTGGGAGGAGCTGGGCGGAGGGGGTTGGAGGGAGGAGTGGCGCCTGAAAGGCGGCGCGTCTGTCTGTCAGTTGTGTTGCCGTCCTCGTCAAAAGTCGGCTGTTGTTTCTGAGGCTGAGATCAGGCTGACCCTGGGGCTGCAAACAGTCCGCAGAGACGCACCGCCGGCTCGGTCCTACCGGCTCCCGCGGCACCGGTCCTCTCCACACCCTGACACCGCCGCGTTCCGGGCACAGAGCGGCGCGGCTCCGGGTAGCCCAGTTAACCCGGTAGAAGACGCTGGATTCGAAGATTTGCTTTTCCTGTCACAGATGCTCGCCTGGAGCGCGCAAAGGAGGCTTTACGCGTCTGAATGAGCTGTTCCAGGGAGCCAGGCTGGGCTGCAGACTGCGCGACTTGTTGCGCTTCTTCCGGGCTGCGCTTCCATCCCAGGGCCGAACCTGCATGTGATGCTCGGGTTGGAGGGGAGTAGGATGTGCCGTGGAGCGCGCGCACAAACAGCCTAAAGTCACGTTTCTCCGGAACTATGAAGTCCGCCACATAAATACGCGAGTTTGGAGAGCAGTTTGCGCCCCGCTTTATAATGGCACCACTCCACCACAATAGCAAACTTTCTTCAGGTCCATTCCCGTAAAGTGCTGAAATTCTTCCGAACTGAGCCTCTTTCCTTCTGGCTGCCGACATGTCTGAGCGCGATGGATGCGGAGACGGGCTGTGCGGAGACTCCGCGCCGGATTTCATCCCGCCGAGAGCGTCCCGCGGCCGGCGCAGCGGGGTCATCCTCCCTGGAGGTGGAGGCGGTCAGGACTCAGACACCATCCTGCTGGAGTCGGTGAAGGCAGCTCCGCGCCGCAGCAGCATCATTAAGGTACCCAAACAGTCTCCTTCTCTCACAGCTGCTTTGGAAAACGATGAGCTTCATTTTTAATAAGGAGAACAGGAGTGGAGAAAGCGGAGACACTTCATCCATGCAGGGACGCGCTTCCTTTCAGGAGATGCTTAGCTTGAGGTGAACTTTATAGGTCAGGGATGCCCAAAATCGTTCCTGGATGGCCGCTGTCCTGCAGGTTTTAGAGGTTTCCCTGCTTTAGCACAGCTGAGGCTTTTCCTGAAATGCAAACATCACAATCAGCTGTGCTGGAGCAGGGAAACCTCTAAAGTCTGCAGGACAGCGGCCCTTGAGGACCCGCCTGCCTGTTATAGGTCAAATGGCCAGTTCAGGCGCATAATTTTAACCTCCATCATCACTTTGATTTTCTTGTCTAATTAGTGTCAAAGCAGTCAGACCAGATTCTTGGTTAATTGCTGAGCCAAGAAAGATGTAGGCATAACTTAAGGTTTGTCTGAGGCAGGCATCCCCAAAGTCAGCTGTCCTGCAGGTTTTGGGTGTCAAACAGGGTCCAGAAAGGGCTGCAGGTTTTCTTTCCAACCAAGCAATAGCACACCAGACTCCTCATCTCATCAAGTCATCATGTTCAGACTGGAATCCCTCAATGATCAAGGTTGGTTGGAAAGAAAACCTGCAGCCAGACAGCCCTTTCTGGGACCACTTTGACACCCATGTTTTTAAGGTTGCCCTGCTTCAGCACAGCTGATTCTGATGTTTGCATTTCAGGAAAAGCCTGTTAATCAACTATCAATGTAAAGCTGTGCTGGAGCAGGGAAACCTCTAAAACCTGCAGGACCCTCGAGGACCCACTTTGGGGATGCCTGGTATGAAGTGTTTTCTGTCTTTATTTAGGGCTGGAACTCATTCCGAAAGTTTAAAAACATCAGCTCAGATCTGACATTAAAAGTCACCTGTCCTTTGCTTTGCCTGGAGGAGACCCTGAGCTGCTCTCTGACTGTCTGACATCAGTGTCATCACCTGTGCTCAGGTTGCATGTCACCGGGGCCCCGTGCACAGGAGCGGATCATGTTTAGCAGTTCTTTACCTTTCATGTCTGACATGTGCGCTCCATAGAAGTCTCTCCACCTCAGGCGACGTGTCTCATGTGTCACTGAAGCGCTGGAATGTTACATGTATGCATGTAACTGATATCTGCTGCTTTGTACCTGAGCTGGATCAGAGGTGCCGTCTGTAGAGAGCTGGACTCTGGAAATGAGACGTATTTGCTTTACTTTCAATCCTTCAGGTACGGAAGGACTGTTAGACTGACATGATCAAGATTCACTTTTAAAAATGTCTTTTCCTGTCAATAAACAGGAAAAATGTGTGGCATGCATTAACACTTAGAAGAACTAGCTTTTATTCCTATAGTTACTAGAGATCGAGTAATAAAGGGTTTTTATGGCTGATGCTCATTTTTTGACATCATTATGGGGTGATTCTCGAAGCTGATTTATCTTTTTCTGATGCCAATACAAAGAAACCCAAATATCGTCCATCAGGTCTCTGTACAAGCGGAGCAGGAGTTTGGTTCACATGGATGGTACTAAGTCAGACCTGCTCCCAGTGGATGAGGGACTCGGACAGGACCGCTCTCTGTCACAGATCCTGTTTAGAGCCTTTATGGACAAGATTTCTAGGCTCAGCCAGGGGCCGAGGGGCTCTGCTTAGACTTTGACTTGGACAAAGTTTACTGTCATCTTGTATACACAGAGTGAAATGAAATGAAACTTTGATACCAACAGTTTTTTAACAGTGAACGAGCAGCAGCTTAGCATGAACTTTCCCATTTATAAAGTGCAGTAGTGATCAAAACTTAAACAGTGTAGGACAGGAGTAACTAATTAAAAATCAGCGGGGTCCGAATAAAGAAAATCATCAACCAGTAAAGGTCCAGAGACATTTTAAATTAAAATATGTTACTTTCAACATTGAATTTTTAAATAAAAAATAATAGAAAATGTTTCCATTTTAAAATCTAAAGTATTTTTGAAGTAGAGAACAACAATCGTTCAGTTTGGTTTATAGATAATTTCCTGATTCCTATATTTTCTCAAACCCCTGAACTGATCGTTTGTTATTTTCTTTCTTTTTTCTGTCTTAATGTTGGCAGTGGGCTTTAGGCTGCCCTGCAAGGCTTTAAACCTGGGTTTAACCGGAGACTAAGCCATTCTCAAGCACATATCAAGGAGCTCATTTTGAGCCTGGATCCAGATTTATTGTTGATTCTGTTCATGGTGGAGAATCCTGCTTCACAGCAGCAGGTTGAGCCAAACATCCTCTAAATGTTCAGGGTCATCTTTGAGCACGCCATTTCACTTTTCTTTCACCAGTTCACCACAGTTCTTCCAGCAGTCCACACTTTCTCTGCTCTCTTTTTCTCATGGTCTTCTCCTTCTTTCCAATCGCCCTGCTTGCCACAGGTTTGCCTGCTGTGTCTAAAAGTAGCAGCAGCAGCAACTCAGACTGACAGCTCATTGGCTCATTTGGATCACGCGCAGCCTGGAGCCGGACGCTCCCCAGGGCTTTACCGTATTAACAGGAGAAGAGGCGCAAGTGAAATTAGAAACTGCCGTCGGACAACATGCGGTAATTTATAAATGTTTTAAATCAGGTTGGGTCCAGATTAGCCAGCAGTAGGGCCGTGATGTTGGAGATACATGATGCCGAGGCATTGATGTGGAAGGTTCACAGCAGTGAAAAATAAATAAATAGACATACTGCAAAATACAAAAGAGACATGAAGTTGAATTCTATTTTGAAGATGCCAGTAAGATGTTTACAGTGTGAACCAGCTTGTTTTGTGACTTGCTCAGAGTTTTAAACAGTTCATCAGTGTGATGGCGGTGGGGAAGAAGCTGCTGCAGAACCTGCTGGTCCTGCATTGAATGCTGCACAGCGCTGATGAAGGTTCTCAGTCATCCAGGTCATAGTCATTCTGTAAAAATTCAAAATATCCACTGGACTTGGTTTTCAAGATTTGAAGACGTTTCGCCACCTCTCCAGGAAGCTTTCTCAATTCAAAAGTCATTGACATGTCATGACATTTGAATTGAGAAAGCTTCCTGGAGAGGTGGCGAAACGTCTTCAAATCTTGAAAACCAAGTCCAGTGGATATTTTTTAATTTTTACGAAATGCTGCACAGCCTCTTCCCAGAAGGCAGCAGGGAGAACAGTCCATGGTGGGGGGGTGAGGGGTCATTGATGATGTTATGGGCTAAGGACACGGCTCTGCATTTTCACCAGACTCGCATTAAAAACATTTATTTTCTTCTCAGAACAATAAAGTCTGCTTCTTTTTCCTGTCAGAACATTTTAAACTTCTGGAAAAACAACACATGATTGTAAAGCAGTAAAAAGCTAATTCTGCTCAGCATTAACACTTAGCAGAATTAGCTGTTTTTTAAATTTTTTATAGTTACTAGAGATCGAGTGATACAGGGTTTTTTTTTATGGCTAATGCTAATTTTTCAATTCTTGAACCTGATTTAGCTTTTCTGATAATTTGCAGATGCTGATACAAAAAACCCTAAATGTTGGCCAACAAATATCAGTCTACCTCTAGTTAGGCCTGTAAATGTTCAGGGAATTTCTCTACTAGCTTTTCATGCCTTTTATTCTGAGCATGAAGCTCAAGCTCAGCCAGATTGGACAGACGATGTTTTTTTTAGCATTAACTGTCAGCTGATTCTATGTCATTACTTTGACTAGGCCTTTCTAACACATCACCCTTTGATGTAAACCATCCTCTGGTTGGCTGAAGCATTCTCACAACATGATGCTGCCACTACCGTGCTACAATGTGGAAAGGATGTGTTGAAGTTCGTCATATGGAACAAAAATAATGTAGCTATATTTTAAAATTGAATGGTTATACATGAAATTTTACCTCGGTATCTTTTTCTTTCCATAATGTAATTATAGGAAGACAGCAGTGAATTGAAGCTTTGTCCCTCTTGTCCTTAAGGGACGGCCATGTTAATATAATCAATATAGTCTCACCTATATCTTTTGAAAAACTTTCCTTATTTAAAGGAATCTCCACATTTACCACATCCCTAATTGCATTGGCTAATTTTTCAGCTTCTTTTTTCTACATTTGGAGCTATTAAAGCAAGGATTGGAAAATGCACGCCGCACTTTTCAGGTTTTATGTTTTGTAAGCTTATCTACCCTACTTTGTGCAGGTTTGTCACAGAGGAGTCTAATAATATGCTGCAGATACTGATGTTTGTGGTTATATTTTGGCTTAAAGTAAAAGATTTTAAGGGTTTAGCTTTTTAGCAGTATGATTATGTCTAATTAATATGATATTTACCTGGTCAGTTGTTCATCTTGTCTGCCATGAGCTGTTTTCCTCAAGCTTCTACTGTCTGAAGTAACATTTCTGGAAATGTGGGTAAAATAAATGATGTTTTTTCTATTAAACTCATTGGATATTACTAGATGAGGTTTTTGTTGCTTTAAAAGCTGCTAACAGGGGAGCATATGGCGTGGCGACCGAGGTTTACGACCTTCCGGCCTGTTTCCCACCTGACGCCATCAGGTCAGTCTGGGTGCTCCCTGAGCAGTGAACCTGCAGACGTAGGTGAGCGGGCCTGTGTCCACGCCGTGCTCTTGGGGGTTGACATTCGGTCCCGTCTGCAGGAGCCAGCTGATCACAGCTCAGATACGGAGGGATGGAGGCGACAGTCGTTATGAAACGCATCACAGCCGAAGCTCTAAGATCAACGGAAACCCGTCGGGGTGCAAAGGGATGACGATTGATGCCAGTGAGCTGAAATTAGGCCGCTGGATTAATCTGAGTTTGAAGGAAAACTCTAAAACGTCTCCTGCTCAAGATTTAAAACCTGATATCGCTCAGTTATTTCTGAATAATATTTCTCTATTATAAAGTGAAAATAATGTAAGACTCAATAGAAAAAAAGAGAAATTAAAGATATTAAATGAAAAAATATCATTTGAAAAAAATTGAAAAG